TGTAAGGTTGGGTAATGTTGGTTGTGTCTTGAAGATGCAGTTTTCTTAAAATTACAATTCCCTTGTCTCCTTTCTACCTATCTTTTTTTCTTATAACTTCCCTCAAACTAACATAAAAATTACCTCCATTTTTCCTTGAGTTGTTGCAGTGAGACAGTGGGTATTAACTAGATTATCTGTTTTTGGGCCTGACATAAGATGGATTATTAAATTAATGTAGACTTCTGACATGAGAAAACATTTACACAGTTTTCTTTTAGTCATTCATTCACAGACTCACTTGGAAAATTCTGTCTTTCAGAAACAGGGAGAAAGGATACTGTGTAAAGAGCCGTTTTTAAAGCTAAAGGTTTAGTTACAGGAATTTTATTAGGAAACTATCAAAGTGAATGGATTTCCCAAGAGGATCAGTCAACACTACTCATGGTTATTCTGAGCATGAGCCTTCTGGATCATGAGGCTGGCAGGGACACGCTGGGTTTTTAAAACAATGTCAACTTCACCAAGAGAGTACTGCTGGCCCTTATGCCAAGACTTTTGGTTCACTGGTATGGTCAAAGAAAAAAGGTCAATGACAACAGGTACAATAATCGTAAGGAAAGCGGGCCCAGGAACTGACCCAGGGATGTGAAGGCACACGGACACATCCCTTGTGCATTCAGCATCAGTTTGAAATGAGCTGGTCTAAAGTGGACTCAGAGTTTACATAGTCTTTACAAGAGATCATAATTATGGACCTGAGGAGAGACTAGAAATGCCTGTGTGAGGGTGTATGCTCATGTCTCTTAGTGGATAAATTACTAGGTTGATTGAGACTTTACAAGGTCATCCAATCCAATGGATTGCATCACACAGGCTCAAATGTCACAATTTCCAGGCAGACAGGAATCCATTCTATTTTAAAGCATTCCAAGCAAGTCTGTTTCACAACTGTTCTCACAATTACTTCTGTCTGTTTAGCGTCACTCACACTCAGAACATATTTGTTTATAACAAATATAAAACAATTTCTAAGCAGATACTGAGCTCTTAAGGATCTAGAGATGATCTTGTCCCTGTGGGGGATATCAGCGTCTGTAAGTCATGGTTCCTGCCCACTTTTCAATCATGAGAATGAAACTTCATTCAGAATTGACTTTTTCTCTAAGCTCGTATAATACTATACTTCATTTACAAATTTGTTATAGCATTGGTCACATTCTGCTTTTCATTTTGGTTGTGTGTGCATTCATGCACATTATCTCTTGCTGGATTAACATGCTACTTTAGATATAAAATGGAGACATTGGGATCAGCTTAAGCATCCATCCAAGCTTAGGGTTCTTTGTAAAATACTTTGGGGAAACAAGAGAAGGCATGGTTTACTCCCCAACATTCAATACCTTTGCTAGGGCAGAAACTTGATAAGTACCTGTTCAATAAAAAATAACATTGTATGCTCAAGAAGTGAGTATACTATTACTCACTAGGCCTTACTTGCTGTGGCAGAAAAATTGAAACAATCTAAATGGTTAAATTTTGTTTTCCAGGACCAGGGATCGAACTCAAGACTTTGCACTTGCAAGGCAGGTGGGGTGCCACTGAGCTAAATCCCCATCCCTCTAAATGGTTAAATATTGTTCAGCACACTTATATACTAGAATGCTTTGCACTTGGTGAAAAGACTGAGGCAGATCTATATGTACCACTATAGAGCAATCTTCAGGATAGAGTGGTGAGATGTATATATTAATATTTGTACTTTAAATGTGTGTGTTAGTGGCACATGGTATGTGTATAGAATATTCCTATGGGGATACAAAAGGAATTGGTAAGAATAGTTGACCATGAGGGCAGGGAACTGGGGGATTAGGACAGTGGTCAGTTGATGAACTAGCTCTTTTGGAATCAAAAGCCCTATATAGAGAGCTTGATAATTTCTGTGGCGTCAATATCTCCACGATGCCAATTTCAAGCTAACAATTTTTTAACAATAGGTGTCCAAAATTCACTTGGCTTCAGTGAGCTGATTTTGGCTACTTTCAAAGCACACCACCAGGCACAGGAGTGAAGGGTGATTGAGCTTCTCCTGTAGACCTTTTAATGCAATTTAAATTTCTTGTGATATATTTGATCATTTAAAATGTAACAATAAAACTTTAAAGTTAGAAAAGTATCATGCTTAGGCTCCTATATTTCTTTAGTATCTTCTCCAAGATAGTCATAGATCTTCTTGATAGTACTTATTCTGCTCTCCTGTACTTGTTCAGGTCTTTTTGAGATTCAATACTTAATGACAATAGTTAATATTTATAATGTCTTCATGTGTAGGAAAGGCAGCTATGTCCTAAGTATAGAAACTGCAAGAATGTTCCGACTGGGAAAAACCACCCTCAAAAATGAGCCAGTGAAGAAAAGGGGCAAAGGGGAAGGAAGTGGGAGGGCTAGGGGAAAGGAGAGAAGGGAATGGGATTAATATGAGAAAATGGAAAAATAGGAACAAAATCTTTGTAAATAGGGAGGAATGGAGGGGTTGAAGGGAGGGCTGGGCAAGGGTGAAAAATAAGAACCAAGAGAGACTATGTAAAGGTGCAAATTTCCAGTGATGAATGTCATTATATTGTCTACCTAAAATGTACCAATGATTAGAATGAATAATCGATAATGTAAAATAGGAAGAAAAGGTCCAAAGGGGTAGGGGTAGTGGGAGGGGCAGGGGAAAGGAAAGAAGGGAAAGGAAAAAATGATGAGAAATGGAAAAAATGGAAATAAAGTCTTTGTAAATAGGGAAGGGTGGAGGGCGTGAAGGGAGGACTAGGAATGGGGAAAAAACAAGAACCAAGATGCATTATATAAAGGTACAATTCCCAATGAGAAAAAAAAAAATGAGCCAGTGGTTGGAAGAAAGATAATCTCTTTAATAAGTGGTGCTGGAAAAACTGACTTTCCACATGTCGAACACTGAACATAGACCCATATCTTTCACCATGCATTAACCTAAAATCAAAATGGATCAAAGATCTAAATATTAAAACAGAAACACTGAATCTTCTGGAAGAAAGAATAGGTAGAAGGGTTGAGGACACTGGAGTAGGCAAAGACTTCATGAACAAAATCCAGACCACATGGGACATACTACAAAGCATCAACAACTGGGACCTCTTCTTATTAAAAAGCGTTTGAACAGCAAGAGAAACTACCAACAGATTGAAGAGACAACCCACAGTGTGGGAAAATATTTTTACCAGTTATTCAGACAAAGGACTATTATCTAGAATATATAAACAACTCAAAAATATCAGACCTCCCAAATTTAAATACCCAATCCAAAAATGAGCATCTGAAAAGACACTTCTCAGATGAAGAATTAGAAATGGCAATTTATGAAAAAATGTTCAGCATCACTGGTCATTTGTGAAATACAAATTAAAACAATGCTGAGATTCCATCTCACTCTAGAAAGAATGGCTGCTATCAAGAAATTAACCAATAAATGCTGGAGGGGCTGTGGGGAAAAAGGAACCCTTCTTCACTGTTGTTGGGAGTGTAAACTGGTGCAACCACTGTGGAAATCAGTGTGATTTCTCAGAAAATTAAAACTAGAGTTTCCATTTGACTCAGCTATTCCTCTTTTTGGTATCTTCCTGAAAGAATCAAAAGCATCATACCACAGTGATATATGCACACCCATGTTTAGAGTGGCACAGTTTGTAATAGCTAAATCTTGGAAACAGCCCAAATTGATGGGTGGATAAAGATGTGGTTTATTTACACAATGGACTACTGCTGTACCATAAAGAAGGATGAGCTTCAGACGTTTATAGCTAAATGGATGGACCTTGAGACCAAACTCTTAAGTGAAAGAAACCAGACACACGTTTAAATACTGCATTATTTCTCTGGTGTGAGAAACCGAAAGTGGAAAGGACTAAACTGTATAATAGATATTGGGAAATGGGAAATGGGAAGAAAATGTTCAAATGGGAAGGGGAACAAGGGAGGAGGGAGGGAGAAAGGGACAAGAAAAAAGTGAAAATAGAAGGAAAAAATGGGAACAAAGCTTTTGTACATAGGGAAGGGAGGGGGCTTGAGGGAGGGAGGAGACGGGGGAAAATTTATTTTAAAAAGAAATGAGCCAGTGGTGAGATTGGAGCATACAGCTCAGCTGCAAAACACTCAGTTTCCTGTATCATTATTTAATAATATGGGAGGTTAATAATTTTTCAGTTTTCCATGTTTTTTTGGTATCGGGGATCAAACTTGGGACCTTGCACTTGCGTGGCAGGTGGTGGAACCACGGAGCTAAATCCCTGGCCCCAGTTTTCCATGGTTTTAAATATATACACATACTCTGGAAACATTAAAGAATGTATATTTTTAATGTTGGGGAAAATAAAACAAAACACCTCTCAGTTTTCCAGCCTCTACGTAGGGGTGGCTCTTATGCAAGTCTAGGTGCCTAACTGGCGGCGGGTCTGCTCTGTCTCAGCAGCCCAGCCTAGGGGAATTGGCTGCAACAGAATCCTGCCTCATTCCTCCTTAAGTACACCCTCTCCCACCAGAGTAAGGCCCAGCCACGGGGAGAGGAGTCCCCAGGTATCATCAACCCAATAGATGCCTTCTCAATTCACTGCAAAAGTCATTCTGTACCAGTCCTCAAGTCTGGTCTTTATGATCAGAGTCCCTGTGTTTCTGAGAATTCATGGCTCAGCTTTCTTCACTTAACCAGCTGCTACTTATCTTATTCCTCAGGTTTCAGCCAAAACATTTCTTCCATTAGTTTCATGCCACTGGTTTACATCTCACCTTGTCCTTCTTTACCACTTATAACACCTTTCATCTTAATTGTGAAACATCTGTCTTTCCTGATCAACTGCATATGATGCTGGTCTTATTTATGGCATATTCTTAAAACCATGCACATTGTCTTGCTTATATTAGGCACTCAGTGTGTGTCACTTGAATGAATTGAGTTATAGTACACTGTTATTAAACATTCATAAGGAAATGTCCAGAGACACTCAATCTTGGGAACATTTTATTTGGAAAGATTTTGAGCATTATTTTATCTTCATTTTCCATTAAGGCAATAACATTCTTCCTTCCTGAAGGTAGATGAGGGAAGATCATCTAGGGCTATATGAAGTTCAGACTAAAGTCAAAGTCAACTACTTTGCATTCAGATGCAGCAGAAATACTGGTTGTGAGCTGAAAGGAACCACATATTAGCTTCCTGAGCCCACTGCCAAGGAACGGATCCAGAGCAATGCATTGCAATTGCTTTGAAAAATAGCTAAGTTCCATTATATAGGACCCCTATAGAAGATACCTCATCAATGAGCCCATTTACCAGGACACAGGGCATCTAATGTAGGATCACAATGTTCTGTTGCTTTTTTAGCCTTTGGTGCATTCATCTAGAATTGTTTGAAATTCTTTAAATGTCAAGGTAATTAGCTTTTCCTAAAGCAACAAATGCAGTTCTTATTCAGCATAAACTCGTTCATCCTTGACTTCTGGCTAGGGAGTGGGTGTGTGTGTGTGTGCGTGTGTGTGGGGGGGGGCAGGGGGACAAGGGTGCTTTTAATTGGCACATAATGCCCCCTGGAGCAGAGGGGTGGCAAAAAGCTTTTGCAGTACCAAAAAAGGTAAACATTGATCTTATGGCCTGGCAGCAATCACATATGCTGATATCGAAGAGCAAATGAAAGTTGAGCAGGACTGCTTCCAAACTTCACCAGATATTTAGCCATATCACAATAACTGCATCTAACAAGCAAGGCTAAATACACAGAGAGCCAGCACCATAAAGGCAGGTGCTTAGGACTAGCTCTACACTGCCCCTTAGTGGCTTTCTTTTTATTACAACTTCCAATCTTCTGCTAGAGTTGTTAATCTACCGGAGGGTGTTCAAGGTGCTAGATCTGGCCTGAGACTAAATTCTAGATTTAAAAACAGAGGATTTCTTACTCAATGAAAAAATGAAAACTGATGATGCTTGGGACCTTGGTTCTGAGGAAAGGCCTTGATGATGAGGTTTACTTCTGTAGGCTACCAGAGACACCTGGCTCCTCAACAGCCCAACTGACTTGTCAGGATGCTCCAAGAGGCCAAGGAGGACAGCAGGAAGAAGTAGGCCAAGAGCAGGCAAGCTTCTAAGAGGGAGTGGGGCAAAGTCACTGGGAGACAAGGCAGGAGAAAGGGGCAGGAAGAGGCTTATAAAAGATTAAATATCAGCCTCAATTAACAGGTGACAGGACAGCTTCATGATTCCCTCTTCCTGGTCCTAATGTTGAAGAAAAAGGTAGCCAAATGAAACCAGTCTGAAAGATTAGGTCAAAAATGAATACTGCAGTTTCTATCCTAACTGCAAAACCAGAAAGGGTGCCTGGAAAATAACTTCTTTTTATTTTCTTTAGATTTTCAGAGAAGGAAAAAAAAATCAAGAATAAAAAAATATTTATAGAAGCTGAGGTCTTCTGAAAAGAAGCAAGCATTTTCTGTTAAGTACAGGAGAGGCTACTTGGCTGAGTGAATATGCACTTTTTGGAGTCTTATATAATGTCACCAAGTTGAAAACTTTGGAATGGCTTGAATGGTCCTCATGCATCCTGGGGGTATCCTGTGTGGGGCCCTCAGGATTCAGGGTGTTGATGTCTAGCCTGGCCCATTGGGCCTTATACTCTCTTCATCCCTTTCCCCATGAGGCAAGCAAACACTGTCATGACCATTTTGGGGTTCACTTCAACCAGGTCTTCTGGAAGGGCATACACTCTTGCTCCAATTTTTCTGGCCATAGAGATGGCATACCTGAAAGGGAGAAAAGAAGACAAATGAAGAAGAGTCTGAAGATTAGTGTTGGGGCGAACCTCCCAGGACCACAGCTACAGTCATCCTACAGTCAGGACAGAACTCAGGCACGGGGTTGCTGGTGCCAGCCACCTGCATCCTCCCAAGTTCACAGACCCATCTTGGCTCCACACGGCTTCCAGCAAAGTGCTAGTGTTACCATTTAGCCTCAAAATAATGACCAATGGCTGTATTTGTCCTTGAAAACCTCCCCAGCTCCTGCCTCCTGGTGTGATATCCACACCAGGAGTTTTTCTGTTCTTTTGGAATTTTTCTTTTTTTAAAGACAGGATCTCTCTAAATAGTTCCAGCTGTCCTTGAACTCACTATGTAGGCAGCCAAGGTTGGCCTTGAACTCACAGTGATTCTCCTGACTGACTCAACTCCTGAGTGCTGGGATCACAGGCATGCATCGCCATGCCTGACTAGTAGTATTCTCTTGAGCTATAGAGCATGGTAGAAAAAAAAAAATCTCATAACTGAATAAGAAATGATGCTAGAAAGTCTGCAGACTGTATTTCAACTACAGAATCATTTTTATAGAAAAGAAGAAAAATGTATCTATGATACATTGAGCTCATACATTTCCTTTATTCCTTGCTTCATTCCAATCTGTGTCCATACATACATGTATTTATTTAGGGTACTATATTAGAATAGCCAGTTTTATATTCCATATTTTTCATATAAATTACCATAGCTACATTAGAATACTTTTGTTTTACTTATAGTTACATAAAGATAATTTTTATTAGTTGTAATCCATTTTAAAATGAGCCCAAACTACTATCTGGCAGTTCTTTTATTCACCTTACTGATTCTCTAGCAACTTCTTACTATGGCTACTCTGGGGATTTCCCACCCTACCATTCCTTTCTCCTGAAAAACTTTACTCTTTCTGTATTGATGAAACTAAATGAAGAGCATTCAGGAATAACCCTATTCTTTCCCCTTGTCCACTGCTCAGTCATCAGTGGAGTAATGTTAATTTCTTCATTATAAAATGTAGAGGAAAACTGTGTAAAACTTCTTAAGGACACTTTGAAATAAAATCACATGCAGTCGAGATTTTGCATTTTGCCCTTATGGGAGAGACCATAGGAGCCTGGGCTGTGAACTCAGACTCTGGGTCTCAGCGGCACAGCTTATGACCTTGGCAAGTGCCTTAAACCTAATCACACCCTTTCGACCCCCAGCCCTTAAGGTATTTCATTTTTTAAAAAAATTTCTTAGTGTTTACATATTTTTTTTATCTGGAATATTCTTTCTTTATTCTCCACCCGTCAACCTCCCTCTTTCACTTGTCCTTTCAGTCTAGCTAAGTTTAGATGTTATTTGCTCTAGAGCTTCAGTCCTCTCCCCTCCATGGCACCCTGTATTCCTCTCTGCCTTCTTCGCCCTCCCTCATGCTCTTGTAATTGCAATTTAATTATTTATCCTCTCTCCATTTGATTGTGCTAAATATCAACCCACTTTCCAAAATCAGGAATGGAGAGAAGGGCACTGTTGGGATTCTAAGGCAGGGATGCCGGGGACCAGACAGTTATAAATTCTAGACCTTTGTATGGGTTCAGTTGTGTCCCTTCTCTGTCAACAAAGTTATGTTGAATTCCTAAACCCAAATACCTTCAGTTATGACTTTATATGGAAATAGGGCAAGTGTAGATGTAATTAGTTAAGATGAGGCCATGCTGGAGTGGGATGGGCCCTAATTCAACATGACTGGTACCCTCGTAAGAAGAGAAGAGATACAGAGAGGGGAGAGAGCCATGTGAAGTCAGAGGCATGCGGTTAGAGGTGGAGATCAGAATGATCCCTCTGCCAGCCAGTGAACGCCAAGGATAGCTGGCCCTAGAGCAGCTGGGAGAGAGCCATGGGACAAGTCTTACCTCAGAGCCCCCAGGAGGAAGCAGCCCTGCTGACACCTTTGACTCAGACTTCTAGCTTCCGCAACTGTGAAAGAGCTAACTTCTGTTGTTTCAACCACTCACTTGATGTGGTACTTTGTTAAGGTGGCCCTGGGAAACTAAGATAACCTGCTCTGAGAAAGGTGTCTCTAGGGCAGAGGCTGGTAAACTCCTGTAAAAGATCAGACCGTGGGCTGGCGATTTAGCTCAGTGGTTCTGCCACCTGCCTCACAACCGCAAGGTCCTGAGTTCGATCTTCGGTACCAAAAAAAAGATTAGACCATAATTACTTTTGCAGGCTTTGTTGCAACTACTCAACTCTGCTGTTGTAGCAGAAAAGTAGTTAGTCACAGACAATATGTAAACAAATAGACTGTGTTCCGTTAAAGCTTTATTAATAAACGCAGGCTATGGGCCAGATCTGGCTCAGAGCCTATAGTTTGCTGACCTTCATTCTAGAGGAATCATTTGACAAGTGGCCTAAAGTGGTAAAGTGTGTGGCAGCTGTTCTCCGGTTGGTGAAGACTTTGGTGTTGAACTTGACCCCTGCCTTCCTGTTTTATCCACAGATATTCATGAATGGTGTGCTTATCTTTGGGCCTTGCCACGCACAAACTTTATTTTGGAAATCTCCTATAAATCAGGTTTAGGAAATTGGTTTTATGAAACTATAGACTTGCTTATGAATTACAAGAATATTCTTAGATTTTGTTTTGCTCTCATTCCAACACAAAGAACTTTAAACTGCACTTGCACCATATGTAATGTGATGCTAATGAGAAGAAAAAGCATGAATAGTGAAAAGAAAGTACCCAACACCATGAGCACTAGACTTTGCAACACCCAGTTGCCAGCTGGGTCTTCCTTTCTGATCTGAGGTTTATTTACTTACTTTGCATTGTTGAGCTTCTCTTCATCATCCAGGCTGTCTGTCTTCAGAAGATCATAGTTAATGGAGCCTGGCTGGATGGCATCGATGAGGTCCAGAATGGGAAGACTTGTACTAATCTTTGGGTCCTACACAAAAAGAAGTGGGGGAGGCTTTTGTAAACACATCCCAAAGTTATTTCTATTCTTCCTCTTAAAGATGAAATGTATACATCCTGGTCAGGCAGTGCCACAATATTCCACACAGTGTTTCAAATCCACTGTAGTTTCTGTAGGGCTATCAGTAACTTCAGAGAAAACTTACTCTCTGCCAACAGCAGGAGGCATTCTCAAATAATGAATGGAAGCAATTAGCACAATTAGAGAAAAACACAAAAGTTGGAACATGTCTTTTGCATACTGTTTACACAGTAGTAAAGTAAATAAATGAAGGAATGATTTAAAAATGAAGCCATCAAGCTGGGCATGGTGGTGCACTCTGGGTATCTGAGGCAGGATTGCAAGTTTGAGTCCAACGTGGGCAAGTTAGTGAGGCCCCATCTCATAAGGGGGGCGGGGGGAGGAGGGATAGATCAGTGCAAAGGCTCTACATTCAATTTCTAGCACCACAAAGAAAAATAAATAAAAACCAACACACATAAAATAACATAAGAAAGAAGAGACTAATGATGTCAGAAAATCCTGCTTCCCATGGGGAGCAGAGTGAGTGACAGGGTAGTGATGAGTGTGCAGGAGGACAGGGGAACCAATAGATGCTCTTTCCCTGGGGGCTTCAGGGAAACAAAACAGACACTGCCAGGGAAACAGCAATAGCAATGATACGATTAAAAACACTGACAGTAACTATGATTTGTTGGTGCCTCACAGTTTGTCCAGTGCTGTCTCACAAGGTTATCTCGCTTGACCGTCACAAGACTTAGACATAAGCATCTATCTAATCTTTTGGGGGGTGGAGCTCTAATTTGTTTTTTCAAGTTTATTTTTTCACTGACATATTTTATGTATTGCTGCTGGCAACTGAACTCAGGGCCTCTCACACATGCTAAGTGCACCTCCAGTCTCCACATTTAATGTTAATTTAAAGGTGAGTAGAAGGAGTTTCTGAGGTTGAGCGACTTGCTGGGAAGTGGTAGAGCTGGGATTTGAACTTAAAATTCTGGCTTAAAATCCTGGTTTCTTTTGCATTTGATATTCATGCCTACACTGCGAATGCACCTTGGATATGAATCACAAACCTCTGTACCATGTATTCTTTTGTCTCCTGCTCCAGGAGGGGACCATAGTCCTGGGGCCCTGTGAGTTCAACTGTGTGTGCCCAGCAAGGCACAGGGGGCGGAAGTGATCATACTTTCAGGATCTGAATCAGAAAAATTCTAAGCAAGAAACAAGACCCAGGAGCCCAGCCAGGTGCTAGTTTTCTAATATCAGTCTTTCTGAATAGGAAGAATCCTAGTTTTTAATAACTATCACAAGTTCATTTGATTTATGGTTGGATAATAAAAGAATCATTCATAAAATTAAAGCCAAGGTAGAATCACAATCTAATTTCCATATTAGCCTTGGATTCTGTCTCCACAGAACCTTTCGAGGAAGAACAAGGAAAGCAAAATGGGGAGACTGAAATCTTTCTTCCTGCTTCCCGCCCATAGTATGGAGGAGGTGCTGACAGGCAGAGAAGTGGCTGCACCTGGTAACAGAGATAGGCGAGGAGGGGCCGGGATTGTTTCCAAAAGGAAAACAGTTACAGCTGACCTCACAATGTCTGTGAAGAGAAACTTCTGAACAAAGCCCCTGGTACTGAGAGTCAATCAGTATTTGGAACTCCTTTTGACTTTTCTTTCTGCTTTCTTCAGTCACCAGCCTCCACTCCCACCTCTGAGTCTACAAAGCAGACTGAGAAGCAAGCTTGAGGCAGAGCACAGGTGGCCATTATCTGTGACCAGCTGGTAGCTGGTGGATGCACCCGGGACACCCCTACCCAGATCCACCTCTGACCTTCTTGATAGGGAGAGGTTTTCATTTTTTTTTCTTAACTTTTAATCAGAGGATTGATAACATGATGCACTGCCTTACTCACTCTGCCAGGACAACTCTGAAGGAGTCCCTCATTTTTAACCTAGAAAAATGTAGTTAAGGTGCACAGACACTATCATGATATGGGTCTAGTATGGGTGAGTTAAGAAATTTAATAAAATATAGTGCAGTTATTAAAAATAGGTTTTGGATACATAGCACAATCGGTTTTTGAAAAACATCACATGGGAAATCTTTTAGTATTTTACATTTCATCATTAGAATGTTAAAAATCTGAACCATGGAAGTGTGCACATATTTAAGAAATACTTCATGTTACTTTATTTATTTATTTATTTTTGGTACGTGGGAGCGAACTTGGGTCCTTGTGCTTGCACAGCAGGCGGCAAAACTACTGAGCTAAATCCCTGGCCCTATTTCATGTTACTTTGAAAGAACAAGGTCTACAATGATGTGTTTAAAATGATAGTTTTTTAAAAATTAAGCATGGGAGAAAGTGACATGAAATTTGTCAGTGAAATGCCCAATGAACATTAAAACAATAATGGGTCGTTTACTTATTTTTATTTTTTTAATAATGGGTCATTAAAAAAATAAAATGGGAGGAGGAGCCTCGATTCTAACACTGAAGGCCATTTAACATATAATGAAAACAATAAAGGGCTGGGGATTTAGCTCAGTGGTTCCGCTGCCTGCCTCTCAAGCACAAGGTCCCAAGTTCGATCCCTGGTACCAAAAAAAAAAAGACTAATAAACAATAAAGATAACCACAGAGTTCAAGTGGCCTCAAACAGAAGACTAGAAATTTTACCTTGAAACTAGCGATGGATGAACTTTTCTCTGCTTCCTTCAGTGTTTCATTCACCCAGTTGATGATAATGTCATCATTGACCTTCTGCCCACCACCAATATCTTCGAGGATATTCAGTGTGTACCTGAATCAAATCAAGAATGATTTTTGGAGATTAAGTTGCTATAGCATTTAAGAGGGTAGAGATTTTCTTTTCTTTCTAGGTATGTCATAGAAGATCATCTGAACACTGTGACACTGGAGGGGAAAAGGACATGTAATAACATCAGATCCTTTTATAGTTTTAAAAGGAAACATATGATTGTAAATGAAAAGCAATTCCTTAAAGCACTGGGCAGGAAGAACAAGCAGAAGTAAAGAAATGTGAGAAATGAAAAATGAAGCAAAGGATCTCAGCCAGTGATACTGTGCTAAAACGAACCATAAAACTCAAGAAACAACTCAATGTTTGAAAAACCCCAGAAATGACATGATAAAGGGAAGATATGGAGGAATTTCTTATATTAAATAAGAATGTTAGAAATACTTTAGTCCAAAGGTAAGATGTACCTTAGATACATGTACATAATGTTAGAATTGGTAGATTTTTTGGGGGGGGTACTGGGGATTGAACTCGGGACCTTGTCCTTGAAAGGCAGGTGGCTGAACCACTGAGCTAAATCCCCAGCCCCTCCCCTTTTTTTTTGAGACAAGGTCTCACTGTGTTTCACTATGTTCAGGCTGGCCTTGAACTCACAGTGATCCTTCTGCCCCAGCCTCTTGGGTGCTGAGATTACAGGCATGCACCACTACACCCTGCTAGAATTGGTGATTTTTAAAGAGAACATTTATTAAGAAGATTCTTCAAGCCCTTATAATTTTACAGAGCAGAGATGAGCCACCATTCCCTCAGGCTACTCCTTTCTGGAAAGGGAGAGGCAGGAGTTGAGCAACATGTAGGTTTGTTGATCTCCTGGTTCAGGTTTGTGAGAGCAGACAAACTGCTCACGAAAGACCTCCAAGGGGAATCAGCCCCCTGCAGACAGACAGGTCTGTGCACGCCCTACCGAGGTCCTGAGTCACGCGGAAGACACCAAATCAGCCTGCGGTAGACAGGCAGGTCTGCCCACACCCTGCCGAGGTCCCCAGTCCCACGGAACACGCCGAATCAGCCCGCTGCAGATAGGCAGGTCTGTGCACGCCCTACCGAGGTCCTGAGTCACTCAGAAGACGTCGAATCACCCCGCTGCAGACAGGCAGCCACCTGATTCCACATTACCAAGGCGCAGAGGACACCAGACCACCAGACCAAGGTACTGAGTCCCACTGTTCCCGGCCCAGAGGTAGGGGCTTCTGAGCCATT